TCAAGTTGTTTCCATGTTTGGCTATTACAGTTTTCAGAGGTCAACAGTAAAATATGTAAAGCTTGTTAAAACTATTATTCAGTGTGATTCTGAGGGAATTAAACCTCTTGACTATTAGATTATTACATTAGCTTTGTGAAAGGCACAAGCTGCTGAGGGGTTGCAGGTGTAGTTTGCTATCGACTATAACATACACCTGGGCATTGCAGGAAAGAGCAGGCAGTGGTTGACCTTTAATGAGTGAATTTCTCAATTTAGATGTTGGTTTCATTTTAAAGGACTCAAAATGTTACCACAGCACTCTTGAAATTCAGATCAGCTGCTAATATTTGTGATGAGATGCAGTATGTATTCAAGTAGGTATAAGACTCAGAAACTGAGTTAAACTTTCATTCCCACACACACACACACACACTTGTTCATTTAATAATTGTACTAAATAAAACACTGTGTAGTCATCCATGTATGCAAAAGGCCTATGCAAACAATATTTATATTAGTAAAGACTTTCTGACATAGTTATATAATCAGCATCATATTTTTATGTAGTTTACAGTTGGCAACTTTACTAAGTTTTTATAAATTATTCAAACTCTTAAGTAGATAAGATTCATAAATTGCATACTTTAGTTTTGCGGAATTAATTTATTTGGTAATTTTATATGCATATCTGGTAAATAAGTCCTGGACTTGTTTCTAAAGGGGAGAGTAAGGTCTCTGTTATGCAAAGTGAAAATCTAGATTTGCTATTTGTAGGAATATAATAGTGACTGAATAGTATTCTTTTGCTCAGTGCCTTCATTCTTACCAGACTGTCTGACTGCATTGAAGTATCATTCAGAAGGTCATATTAATATGTTCACTGCACAGTGAAGAAATCGAGGGATGCTAGTCTAGATAGGCATCTATCTAGATTTATTAATCATCTAGCTGTCTTAATCACAACTCACACATAACTGGCTAGTCAACCTCACAAGGCAGTTCACACCAAGATGAGGCAACTTGGCTGTTGGCCTTTAGTAGGTAACTTAATGGCTCAGTTTCTTCATTGGTAAGGTAGGGGTATAATAATGCCAATATTGGCATAATGATTTAAAAACATTAATACATTCATAAAACTTCTGAATAGTGCTTGGCTGGTACCCCTCCCCCCACATGCACCCAGTCTCTGTGAGATGTTACTTCTAGGCCAGTAATCATTCACTAATACCTTCTCCAGTTGTTGAGAGGTGAGGGTGTAGGCTCTAGGTTTTAAGAGAATGTCATGTGCTTTTAAAAACATGTCTTGGTTTGGTTTTCTTTGGACTTCTCTGTAGAGAAATACACTTTAAAGGAAGCAGTGTTCTCAAGTCCCTTTGTCCCTTTAATACAGCCAAACTCCCATGTTGGACTTCTTCCTGAAGCCATGCTGTCTCTTTTTCTTTCCAGAGAGAAACCAGTAGTTTTATATGCTATTGAGTTTCTGCTGTTAGGCTCTGAGTGCTGGGGGCACACCAATGGAAGTCCCTGTCCTCATGGAGTTTGCAGCCACTGTCCTTAAGCTGGCTGCTGCCCTCATTTTATGTACTGTACTGTGTATTATGTAGAATTGCTTTGCTGCATTACTCAAGATACTGCCTTTTGTTGGGAAAAAAATGATAGAATTAAATGTCTATTGTTAAATGCTATCTACTGTACTTTCTAATAAGCAAGTTATTTCCAGTGTTTGCCATTTATAGCTTTTAGTAATGGTCACTACACATTTTCTTGGTAGATAGGACAGTTTCTTTAAAATGCTGTATGTCAGGTTCTTTAACCAACTACAGTTAGAATCATGGCGTGCTTGAGCCTGTTAATGCAAGTGAACATGTGGAGCAGAAACCTTACCTTTGCTCCCTTACTCCAGCCCTGTAAGATGCAGGTCAGACACGGCCACAGAGGTGACTCCATCACCTGGGCATTGCCTGCCCTTGCTAGCACTCTACTCTGGTATGGTCATAGGATCGCTGTGCTGTCGTGTAGTGCATCTTCCAGCTTTTGCTGTTAGTACAGTCACTGGAGTTCCTGTTTTCCTCACACTCTACCTGCTCCTGGTGTGTCAGGCGGGCAGGAAGTGACTTTCTTAACCGCCTCCCCCATTTCTAATGTGTTTAAAGTATGTTTTAAAGTGTATTACACAAAGAATAAATGTGTAGCTCATTAGTAGAATAGCATTAGTGAGGTTTTGAGTTTAATCACTACCACTCCCAAAAGTATATTATGTACAAATTTCTTACTTAAAGGACAGACAAAGCTGGTGTCCAGGAGAAAAACATTATTATAACTGACTCCCTTGCTCTGGTAGAAAAATAATACTATATAAGCATTGCTTTATAATAAACAGCTTCACTAGATTAAGTGTGGGTAGTATACTAGACATGCTGCAAGTGCATTATACATTTATTCTTTGTAAGAATCCTGTAAGATTAGCACCTGTGCCAGGCATGATGGTACACACCTTTAATCTCAGCACTTTAATTTAAGCTGAGGCAGGTGGATTTCTGTTAGTCTCAGGCCAGCCAGAGCTATACAGTGAGACCCTGTCTTTTCATGTTTTTTTTTTGTTTTTGTTTTTCTTTGATTTTTGAGACAGGGTTTCTCTGTGCAGCCCTGGCTGTCCTGGAACTTACTCTGTATAGATAGGCTGGCCTCAAATTCAGAGATCCCTGCCTTTGCCAGAGATTAAAAGTGCTGGGATTAAAGGCATGAACCACCATACCCAGCTGTCTTTAAAAAAAAGTTTAGCTGGGTGGTGGTGGTGCACACTTATAATCTCAGTATTCAGGAGGTAGAGGCAGTCAGTTCTCTCTGAGTTCAAGGCCAGCCTGGTCTACAAAGTGAGTTCCAGGACAGCCTAGGCTGTTGTTACACAGAGAAACCCTGTCTCGGCGGTGTGGGGGATTAGCGCCTTATTACACAGATGAAGAAAGCAGTTCAGAAAAACTAGTATGCTTGCTGTGGTCACACTGTTACAAAGAGATAGAGCTGGTCAGGTCTAACTTTATAACTTGTATTCTTCGGTGCTTGGTTCTATTGGGAAAGTCTTATGAGTCTGTGGTTCATGATTTTTCTTTTGCTTTGTCTATGAAATGAGCTTCAGTTTGAATTTTACTCCCCCCACCTTCGAGTAGTTATTTCTAGTAATCATATTTTGAGCTGTTTTTCTCTTTGACTCTTAACCCATTGGCGTCTTTTCCCATCCCTCCCCGCCGTTTTGGAGGGTTTGATGGACAGTGAGGCAGTTTCTCTATGATGTATGTAGTCATGGTTGCCCTGGAATGCTTCTCACAGAGACGCCTGCCTCTGCTGGGATTCTAGGCATGAGCCACTACACCTGGCTTTACCTCGTCTTTTACACTTTTTGTGTAGTTTATCTGATTTTTTTTTCCCCTATGCTCTGCAACTTTGGTATGCCTTATAAAATCACATAGGAATTTTAAAACTGTAATCCTTTGAGTTTTTATTGAGCGTGTGTGCGCGTGTGCGCGCGCGTGTGTTACACATCTGCACAGTGGAAGTCAGAGAACTTGGAGAAGTTTGGAGCTTTCTTTCCCTGTGCATCAGTTGGTTAGAAGGAAAAAGGAAGTAGTGGGGAGAGGATGTCTGCAAAAACAGAATTTTTTATTTCTTTCCCAAGAAATTTCTATACTATTTCTCTTCTGAGTTTATCATTACTGGTATCTTTAGTCTCCTAGTTTCAGAACATCACCTGGACACTGTCCTTCCCTTATTATATACGTCTTCTCTACCTCCTTTCTCTCCAGTATTCTATTTTACTTTAAGATTTTCTTTAGTTTATAACTCATTTGATTACTTGGACTAAATTATTAAATGCATTATTAAAATATTGCTTGACAAGAGCTAGCCTACGTCTTGACCCGCTGTGTCTGCTTTGTGGGTCCATTCCAAATCAGGGAGCTGGCTGGTAAGTGTTGACAAAGGACTAGATGAGCCGAACTAGACCCTTCGGATCTTTTAGGATTTATACCTGGTGCTCATAAAGCATATAATAATGATAATTACTATTACTGTTAGCTTAATTATCAGATTAATTCTGTTAAATTTTTTGTATAATAAAATTTGTCGTTAAAGCGCATTATTACTTGAAAATTGAAGCTGACCGCTTTAGTAACTGACTGGATTTGTCAAAGACTACAAAGTCTGATGAAGGGAGTAGAATCTGAGCTGGACTTCAAAGGATAGATACAGGTGGGTTTTTTTTTTTTTCTGTTAGTAAAGAGATGAGGCAGGGGATTCCAGTTAAGGAGTATGACCTGCACAGGGCTTAAAGAAAGGCACTGAAGCCGGGCAGTGGTGGCGCACGCCTTTAATCCCAGCACTCGGGAGGCAGAGGCAGGCGGATCTCTGTGAGTTCGAGGCCAGCCTGGTCTACAAGAGCTAGTTCCAGGACAGGAACCAAAAGCTACGGAGAAACCCTGTCTCGAAAAATCCGAAAGAAAAAAAAAAAAGAAAGGCACTGAAAATTTGGACCAGTGTGAGTAATTTACAGAGTTTTCTTGTTATGGAAACAAAATGAAATAGCTTGAAATCAAACTTTCAAAATTTCTTAGTACTCAGCTAAGGTTTCTGAAGTAGGAGATACTCATATGTCTTATGAATTAACTTTTTTTATTGACACACAACATAATTGCAAGGTTACATATGATGCATGCACCCTGGAATCTTGCCTGGTTCATGTAAGTTAATGGTCACTGCTGGGTCTCCTTAGTATCAGAGAGAGGCAGACAAACTCCTTTTCCTGGTGACTTAGTTCCCTTTGCTGCTTGTCTAAGTGATTTCTATTCGGTCAGCCGCTCCCTTTCTTGTTAACTGCACATTCCAGGTCAGTAACATAGTGCTTATAGCTATAGCCCATGAGTCTTTACAATTTCCTTGTATCTCAGAGGTGCTACAAAAGACTGTTGGATGTGTGTTTTGTTTCAAAGACAGTTACTGACTTTCTTATTTCTCTTCCTTTACAGACCTAGAGGATCAAGTCATAATGGGAGCATTTTTAGACAAGCCAAAGATGGAAAAGCATAATGCCCAGGGGCAGGGGAATGGGTTGCGATACGGCCTAAGCAGCATGCAAGGCTGGCGTGTTGAAATGGAGGACGCACATACAGCTGTGATCGGCTTGCCAAGTGGACTTGAGACGTGGTCATTCTTTGCTGTATATGATGGGCATGCTGGTTCTCAGGTTGCCAAATACTGCTGTGAGCATCTGTTAGATCACATCACCAATAACCAGGATTTTAAAGGCTCTGCAGGAGCGCCATCTGTGGAAAATGTAAAGAATGGAATCAGAACAGGTTTTCTGGAGATCGATGAACACATGAGAGTTATGTCAGAGAAGAAACATGGTGCAGATAGAAGTGGGTCAACAGCTGTGGGGGTCTTAATTTCTCCCCAGCACACCTATTTCATTAACTGTGGAGACTCGAGAGGTTTGCTTTGTAGGAACAGGAAAGTTCACTTCTTCACACAAGACCACAAACCAAGTAATCCGCTGGAAAAAGAACGAATTCAGAATGCAGGGGGCTCTGTGATGATTCAGCGTGTTAACGGTTCTCTGGCTGTGTCAAGGGCCCTTGGGGATTTTGATTACAAATGTGTCCATGGAAAAGGTCCCACAGAGCAGCTTGTCTCACCAGAGCCGGAAGTCCATGATATCGAAAGGTCTGAAGAGGATGATCAGTTCATTATTCTTGCATGTGATGGAATCTGGGATGTCATGGGAAACGAAGAGCTCTGTGACTTTGTGAGATCCAGACTTGAAGTCACTGATGACCTTGAGAAAGTTTGCAATGAAGTAGTCGACACCTGTTTGTATAAGGTAGCTAGACTTTTCTTTTCAGTCAACTTTATGCCATTAGTTACTGTTCCTTTTAATTATTGTGGAGCCTGTAGATATCAAAAATAAATTTTGGCACAATTACAGGATACTCTACCAACTGTGAAAATATAAGGATACTTTAGAAACTAGCCAGTTACCATCTGTGCAAGAGCTGAATCTAAATGCTTGGTCTTTAACCATGGGTACTTAAGCTTTTGGTACTATAGAAGAATATTAGAGAGAAAGAGGGTGGGGAGATCTGGAGCTCTGCATCTATCTGTAAGCTCTGGATATGCTTTAGGACGCTGGTTGAGTGTTTCCACCACTTGAACATGAGTTCTGTAGCATGAGAACAGCAGGGTTCAGTGAGTGTGGGTATGGGGCAATAGAAATAGCCTTGGTTGTGGGCACAGAAGGACCTCGGTGAGACCCTGTGACTGGAGGTCAGCTCGTGTTTCCTGAAAGAACAGAGATTGCCCTGTCTAGTGGGACTGCTGGGAGGAGGATCAAATAGGCTCATGTACATAGAGAAGCAGATAAGGAAGCTGAAGACAGAGAAGGTTCTGTGGACTTAAGAGTCAAACAGACCTGGAATCAAGGCTTACCTCTGTTGCTTTGTATTCTTCATTCCTAAACAAGTTCAATCTGCTATAAAATACAGAGAATATATAACTTCTAGCCTCTGTTAAGGACTTACATGTGCACACATGCCTGCCTGCGTGTGTGCTCGTGTACACTCTAGTCTGATAGGTAATGCATAGTCAGTTCATGCTCGAGAACTCAGAATTCATTTCTACACTATTACACAGCTTTAGTCGCAGCCCCCAGACTAGAAATGCTGGGGCCTTGGCTTAGCGTCAGTGCCGCTTGTGCCACACTGTGGTATTTTGTCAGTGACGCTTGCTGACTACTGTTTGAAAGCAAGCGCTATGTATCCACACATTCATCTCAGTGTAAAATCCTAATTCTATTAGAAGTAGAATTTGTGTACCTTCCAGCTTGTGTGTCTGTAAAGTGATAGTGTGCTGTCAGTCTAGCTTCCTTATGAACGGTTTGAGGTATTCGTTTAATGTGTATAAGATCAATGTTTCCGTATAGCTGAATTAAATACTAAAAGTAAGGAAAATGTAGGAAGACTATCAATTCAAGTGTTCTATTTAACAACAGTTTGAATAATGATTTGAATGTACTTCCAAGTTAAATCAGTACTTTTATTATATAAATAATACATAATATGTACTACAAAAGTATAAACTTCTTCTAGTTTTCCTTCTGATTTCATATTTCTACTGCAGAAATAAATGCATTGACCCCACAGTGCGTTGAGACTAAAGTGTAAATTTGTGACAGGGACAGTAAAGACTAGTACTAACAAGCTCCGCCATATTACGTGGCGTGTGCAGCTGCGTGATACTGACATGGCAGATGACTTCAAGCAAAGTGGCCAGCAGAGAAGATTTAGGGAAATTTTTGTTTTATAGGCTCTTTGGCAATAATTTTCTCACAGAGGATGTAGCCTGTAATGATTGCTCCTTATAATAGTTAATATATTATATGGAGGCAACTGTCCCCTACCAACATGTCTGCTTTTTTCTCCTTAAAAGTAACTTGTTTTGTTTTTTGAGACAGGGTTTCTCTGTAGCTTTGGAGCCTGCCCTGGAACTAGCTCTTGTAGACCAGGCTGGCCTCGAACTCACAGAGATCCACCTGCCTCTGCCTCTGCCTCCCGAGAGCTGGAATTAAAGGCGTGCGCCACTGCTGCCTGGCTAAAAATAACATTTTTATAGACACAATATAGTTATGATTGGCATAGGTATAAAGATTCTCAAGGTTTTAAAAAGTAGAAAGAAAACCAAATATTTTCTTGCCCTTTCTCTTTCCAGGGAAGTCGAGACAACATGAGTGTGATTCTGATCTGCTTTCCCAATGCACCTAAAGTCTCAGCAGAAGCCGTGAAGAAGGAGGCAGAGCTGGACAAGTACCTGGAATGCAGAGTAGAAGGTGGATCATTTAACAAAAAATAAGTAGCTTTCTTTAAAAAACCTGCAACAGAAAGTTTAACACTCTAGAGTTTTTAATTCTTTACATGCCTTTAACATCTAGTACTTAGCATATAAAAGTGGAAAGGACATTTCGTAGTAAGCATTTAGATGTCTTCCCAAGGCACCCTGTCAGATTAGAGATAACTAGTACAGCCTCATGCAAACATGAGTTTTCTGGTTAGGAAACTTCTGTACTGAATGGTTGAAGTGTGGATCTAAACTTCTTGCTGACCTCACTAGTGTGAGGAGTTTTATGCCCAGAGAACACACTTGTTTCATTTGAGTATTTCATCTTCCTGTGAGAAAGCCATGTGCGCTAACTTCAAATCTCTGGAATAGTTTGTGTACGACCTGTGTTTGGTTGGTTGTTTTCTGGGTGGTTTGGTTTTTTTGTTTGTTTGTTTTGTTTTTGATAACTTGGAAGTCAGATGGTTCCTAGCAGCTGTCACATCCCACAGCTTTCCACACTTAGTTTTCAGTTCTTTGACGGCTTCCCTCCTAAGCCATGAGCTCTTTGACCTTACAGCACAGACCTGGCAGGAATCAACTCTCAAATGAGATCAGGAAAGTGGTTTGGAACTGTAGGAGTGTGGTTCTTAGATTTCTGCAGATTATTTTATAACAGATGGAAAGCATTTGTACCTCAAAAAAATGTGATGCTTTTAAATATTGGAAGAAATTTATCTTTTGTTGGTGGGGTGGGTAGATAGGTTGGTTGGTTGGTTGTAGAACTGGGGACCAAATCTAAGGTTTCTTGCACAGTGAGCAAGTACTTCCCTCTGAACCCCACCCCAGCCCTTCCATGATCTTTGATGAAGCTGCTCACTAAGCATAAGCATAAACATTGTCTCCCCAGACACTAGGTTCACTGTGTGGACAGATACAGTAAGCACGGAGATTATGCATGCCCTATAAACAGAAACACTTGAGGGTAAAAAGTGCGTTTTGCTCTCCGGATACCATAATTGGCATGCAAGCATCGACCTACCATACTATTGCATCCCATTGTGTCTTCATTATTAAAATTAGTGTGCATCTTAATTTTATTTTCTTTTTTTATTGCTTGATATCATTTGTAATCTGTCTATTAGAGTTGTGCTTGGTTTGGGTTGTTAGTGTACCTAGAGATTTGAGGTTTTGTTACTATCCTCCCTCCCCTGATGGTAACGTCTGTTTGTATTGTTTAGTATTTCATTCATTAAGTATACTAGTCAATGCATTTTTCCTCACTATTTTCAAGGGTCTTGTAATTTTTCACATCTTAAGTTATTTCAATTGTTATTCTAAAATATTCTAAAATACTCTAAAAATACTTAGAATGTTACAGAGTGTTTGGTCTAAATTGCTGTTTAGTAGAAAATTATGAAACCAAAAAGATGTGTATGGGGTAAGTTGATGTTGCTGTTTTGGCACCTTAGCCTGGGAATACTTTTTATTGGTATAAAGAAATAACACGTAACTTAGTATTTTTACTATGGAATAGGATCCAGTTTTAGGAATGAATTACTATTTTTCTCTTCAGTGTGCTTATTTTAAAGTGAGTTTTTGGTGGAGTTATAAAATAGTCACTGCATATAATTTTATTATAATAAGTTTTATATTTCATGCTATCAAGTGGCAGTTGCCACCTGGGCAGAGTTTACATTAATAGTCAATATTGTACTATGTTCAACTGTTACACCGTGCAATTGGAGGTAATGTGTCGTAAATTAAGTATGGTATTTTAGAGCTGATGAGACGCAACTAGAGAGAAAGTCGTGTTAAAGTTGCTGCTACTTAAAAGCACAGAAGGAATGTATCTTTGCACTGTGAACGATGTATGTCTAGTGAACAAGTACGCAGCTTATAACACAGACACCAAATACTTTTCTCCTTGTTTAAATACATGCCTTTACTAAATTGCTGTGACCTACTAAGCCTGATTTATTTGTTTTCAACATTTTTGGCTTCTGTGTCTACAACATTGAAAGGACAAAGCTCCTCAGACCCTCCCTCCTCCCACCGTGTCACCTTTTACTGAGGGAAGGTGATGAGGAGACTCTTGCTGCCTTAGTAACCAGATGGCTGTTGCGCTGCGGTCCTTAGGCAGTTTAAGATTATACTCACCTGTGTGTGACTCTCTCCTCAGCTACTGGCCTGACTCCCTGAAAAGTTGCTAATCTGGAGGAAACTGAGGATTCCTTAAGCTTTCTTGAGGAAAGAGGGGGATCAGGGTGTGTTTGTCTCTGTTTATGAAACAGAGTTCTTGATATTTCTATTCTTTATGGCAGCACCGAGTTTTTGCAGTCTAATTAAAATGTATAGTCCAAGAACAATTGCAGGAATTTTTCTTAACATCCAGAACTTTTCTAGAAGCTGAAGGAAGCAGAATAGTGTAAGTGTTCATAACAGTTTAAATGACTGTCCCACATCAAATAAGAGATTCTAATTGTTTCTAAAGTCTTTATTATTCTTAAAAGAATTTGCTTTCCTGTATTCTTAACAATTAAAATATCATAACATACTCTAATGAAGATGTAAGCTACATCAAATACAGCGGGTTTTTTTTTTTAAAAACTTAGAACCGAAACCATCATTGGTTGAATTTATCAGTGTTCATTTCTCCTGTATCCAGAGCTCAAACTAAATGATTGTATTGGCTTAGTAGACACTGTGTTGTGTGTTGCCCGTCTAGATTGTGAACTTGTGTAGCATAGGCAAGCATCAAATCCCTTTATTTTTGTATAGTAGATCTTCAGCACTAGCACCATGTAGAACATCAATATGCCAAAATGTTAAAGACTATACAATAAAGGAACTTGGCAAACCAAATCTGAGATCCTCGCTTTTTGTTCAGATTTAAGACTGCTTTATTTTGTTCATTTTTTTTTAAGGAAAAGAAGGCATAATATAATACATGCAAAGTTTGGCCTTTATTTTAAGAGAATAATTTTAAACCATTTAAAGAGATTTCATGAGAAGCGATGTCTGTCTTTACGTGTGCCTTTAATGGTGAAGAAACACTTTGAGGCTTGATACAGAATGAAGTTTTTGTGTTATTTTCAGAGGGATTTACAAACAGAGAAATAGAATAATTTCTTGCTCTGGTGGCCTAGAAAATACCATTTATTATAAATATTGAGAAGCAAAGTGCTGTGGTGCCTTGGGCTGGGATTTGCACTGAGAGTAACTGTGCTTAGTCTCCAAATGAGGTCTTGTACTTAGTTTAGAGATGGGATGAGGGTCTTTGTTCACAGCTCGCGTTGGTCTCTGATAAGAATTACTGCATCTACCTGTTAGCGCTGCAGATCCCCTCTCTGTGCCCTCAGAGGAGTCTGATGTGAAACTAATCATTCTAAATGCAGTTGTTCAGTTACTAAGTCTTTCTTTCTGCTCTTAATTGTTTTGTCATGAAATTTAGATCCTTTCATTTAAAGTGTTGCTTAAGTAACAAATGAAGGCAGTGGTGTGTGTTTATTTATATGTCATTTCCTAGAGGGAAAATTGATATGCAGAGTGATGTTCAAGTATATCATTCATTTGTTTATGCTACTTAAGACATGTTGCCACTATAAAAATATAGGTTAAAATTTTAGGCTAGTATATCTTTAATAAATTGCCCTATACTTAAAGGTGCCTTTTCAAATCTTGAGTTTTTATTTATTTATTTCTATGTGCAATGTATTTTACAGAAAACCCGTGTCCTGTGTAAGGACAGGAGTTGATTTCAACAGTAACTAGTTAACATCTTAAAGAAAGTCATTTATACCCACCTTGATTGTGTAACACATCAAGTTAACACAAACTTTTTTTTTTATTTTCACATTTTTATCTTGTTTTCATTCATTGAAGTTGATGTTTTGTGTCTTTTTCTGTATTTGAAGATGAGTGATTGTTTTCATAGTGGTTTAGAAAGTCTCGGGTGTAGGACAAGTAATTCAGCTGTAATAACCTAAGGTGTCTTTGCTTCAGTGTTTAAAATTGAGTTTTGATAACACTTACAAAAAAGGTACTTCTGATTCCCAGAAATCATAAAGAAGCAGGGGGAAGGAGTCCCTGACTTAGTCCACGTGATGCGCACGCTAGCCAGCGAGAACATCCCCAGCCTCCCACCGGGGGGTGAACTGGCAAGCAAGTGAGTATGTTCTGTGTGTTCAACCTTTGTCTGTGGGAGCTATGCATTTACTCCGAAGGTTCATGCTGTGCCTTCACTGTTAGGAATTGTGCTCCTTGATTGGGATCAGTGCTTAATTGTCACTGTTTATAATTGTACTAAGAATTGTCCTTAGTGGAAGCTTGGGTGACACTGATTTCCACAAGGAATAAATGAGATAATGGAGTGAGAGATTATACATGAAATAGCATGGCTGCAGAAGGGTAAGTGGCTGTAGTAGTGGTGGTGGTGTTTTCTGTCGTCAGTCCTTGTATAACTTAACACTCCAAAGACTGTCTTCAGTTTGGGCAGTGTTTGCTTGTTTATTGCTGATTGGTGTTTGGTGTCAGAAAAAGTAGACAGACACTTTTTTCCTTTGCTTGTTTTTCCTTTTCTGTTGTTTCATAGAGCCATACTAGTTTGTGTTAGATATTAAGCTTATGTCTGTAGTTAACAATGTACATTGTGCAATTCAGGTGAGTTTTTGTTTGTTGCGACAGCGTTTCCCTGTGTAGCCCTGGCTGTCCTAGAACTCGCTGTGTAAAGCAGGCCAGCCTTGAACTCACAGAGATCTGCTTGCCTCTGCCTCCCTAGTACTAGATTAAAGGTGTGCACCACCACTGCCAGGCTTCAAGTGTTTCATTTGTCTTGTTTTAGTTCAATGCCTGGTGTAAAGAGGGATATTGTGGCCGTTTCTCTGATTTTCTATAGTTTGCACATACTGCTATCTTTATTCTTTGTGGTCATTTCACCAGGGATTCTAAAAGTTCCTGTTGAAACTTGTAGTTTTTGAAAACTTTCACATGACCATCTTTGATATGACTGTCTATAAAATTTTTTCCCATCAGTTTTAGAAGTGTGAAGGCTGTAACTGTAAAAGCACCGTTCGTTGCATTACAGACAGACAGACACAGAGGTGTGTGTGTGTGTGTGTGTGTGTGTATGGTTTGTTATACTGAAAAATAAACCCAACGTCTCACACTTGCTAGAGAAGTTCTCTGCCATTGAGGATTAAAGAGGTATTCCTCCACACCTCTCTTTTTGTAGAAGGGGGAGGGGTCCCTTGTTTGTCCTGGCCGTCCAGAACTGAAATAACCGCACAAAAACTGTATTAGTTAAATCACTGCTTGGCACGTTAGCTCTAGCTTCTTATTGGTTAACTCTTCACACATTAATTTAACCCATTTCTATTTTTTTAAAAATATTTATTTATTTATTGTGTATACAATGTTCTGTCTGTGTGTATGCCTGCAGGCCAGAAGAGGGCACCAGATCTCATTACAGATGGTTGTGAGCCACCATGTGGTTGCTGGGAATTGAACTCAGGACCTTTGGAAGAACAGGCAATGCTCTTAACCTCTGAGCCATCTCTCCAGCCCCCCATTTCTATTATTAATCTGTATATCGCCACATGGCAGTGGCTTACCAGCAAAGATTCAGCATGTCTTACTGTGGTGACAGATTCATGGCATCTCTCTGACTCTGTCTTCTTCCTCCCAGAATTTAGTTCTGTCTTCCCTGCCTACCTAAGTTCTGCCCTATCAACAGGCCAAGGCAGTTTCTTTATTCATTAATAGTAATCACAGCACACAGAGGGGAGGGAGCTTCCACATCACCTTTTTTCTTTGAAGGAGACAGGCAGACATGATCTTCTTGTATAGCCCAAGATTTCCTGACTCAAGTAACTTTGCCTCAGCTATTCAGTACTGGGATTAGGCATGTACCAACACACGGCCAGACTTTAAAACAAAATATTCAAAAATTAATCCTATACTTGTCATGGAAGTATTCAGTGTTCTAGTTTTTGTAGAAGTTTTTTTGAAAGAATGTTAAAAGGAAGCAAAGACAAGATGTATGTTGGATTGTTCTACTTTGACATGTTAAAGGTGCTTCTACTTGTTAACTATGGTACATTCTCAATTGGTATGTCTTCGGATTGGTATTGCTGTTGCTCACTTGTAGCCATTTAAGTCAGCTCAAATAGAAGTAGGACCATATAGACTTTTTAGTCTGCATACGTGTATATGTGTGTATGCTTGCATGTGTACGTGTGAGCACATGTGCTTGGAGGCCAGAGGTTGCATAAGGCAGAAGACAGGCGACATCTCCCTCTGTTGCTCTCCACATTATCTTTGAGATTGGTCTCTCACTACACCCAGAGTTCACTAACTAGCTGGCCAGTAAACTCCAGGGATCCACTTGTTCTTGACTTCTTCCAGTGCTAAAGTCACAGATGCAGGACACTGTGTGGGCACCGGGGTTCCAACCAAGGTCTGTGCTTGTGCAGGAAACCCTTTGCCAGTGAGCTGCTGGATTTCTTGGGAGGCTACTTTTGTTTTAATTTTGTAAAGGCTCCTGCTCCTGAGCCTGGTGACTGCCTTTGGTCCCCAGAACCCATATAGTAGAAATAATGAAGAGACTCCTGCCTGCTGTCCTATGACCTCCATACATATGTGCACACAGTAAATGAGCTGAAAAGAAGAAAATCACCAGTTGGTTTGTTAACTAACTGAAATAAACTGTGACTTTTGCTCCAGTGTTATTTAGATCAGTGGAGAGTTAGAGTATTTCATGTTAGAGAGACTGTCTCTGCTTTAGCATCGGGACACAGATGTCTTAAAGACAGACTTGGTATTGACAGCAGGAGCTAGAATCAAATGTATTTGAAGTGTATTTAAAGTTTTAGTGAACACTGGACTGGGGTTATTAGCCGTGATTTACTTTCTGAAAGATTAACTTTCTGCATTTTCTAACATTTAGGCGGAATGTAATTGAAGCCGTTTACAATAGACTGAACCCTTACAAAAACGATGACACTGTGAGTAGTGTTCGCTCCTCTGCTCTCCTGTCCTCCCTGTGGGTCTGCTCTAGTGCACAGCTGAGTGGGTCAGTGCTGCTGCTCTGGGCTCGGCCGGCTGTACTCTACAATCAACTTCAGAAGACCTGCCTTCCGTTTTTTTATTAAGTTAGGGATCTCTTTCCTCAGAATCTTGGATTATTCTGAGTTTTACAAGGAGCAACAGCAGAATTCAGAATGTTCATCGTGAAGCGTTTTTCTGCATGCAGATATCTTTGCCACAGTCCCGAGGCCGAACCCGCACTGAGACACTAGAGAAGTCCCTTGCAGCTGTTAGCGCAGAGTCACTGAGTGCAGCTGTTACGGGCTGCGTGCTGCATTATGAAGCTCTTAACCTCTTCACTCCCACAATGCAATAAGCGTAATGAAAGTGGAGGTTTAAAATAAGTTAGGTAAAGCTTTTCTAGTAATTTTGTTGGTTTAATGATAAATTTGTTCATACTTGTAGTAAAATCATTCAAATATTTTTTCAAGCCAAAGGATTTGTTTGTTTCTTTCTTTCTTTGTTTATGCAAATTTTTGGTGGGTGGGGCCAAGGCAAAGTTTTCTTATTTTTTAACTAAGCAGATTAAATATTAGTTTTCATATGTAGACATAGATATTTTTGAAACCAGCTAAGTTCTGTAATTGGTATATTATAAAACCGTGTCTTTCTGCACTCTCCAGGGAGTGGTACATCTAACGCCCTGTTTGTCTGTTCTCCCCTGTGAAGGACTCTGCATCAACCGATGACATGTGGTGAAGCCGCTTATGGCCATGGGTCGCCTTCGCCGCCAGAGGAGAGCACAGCTCAACTTGGCCGAACCTTTGAACAGCCATCATCAACTTTAAGGAGGAAGGGGTACGACGTGGCTGAGGGACTACACCAGAGCTTGAGCGGTGGAACAGCTAGCCCAGAACGGATTTTTTTTTTTTAATTGTAAATTTGAGACTTATGTAAACGTGATTTCAAACCGTAATTCATGTTGTAAATCAGACTCCAGCAATTTTTGTTGTATGATTTTGGTTTTTTGTAAAGTGTAATTGTCCTTGTACAAAGTGCTCATATTTAATTATGAACTGCTTTAAAATCACGGTCAACGAAAAAGGAAATGTTTGGCTTGTTGTGTGACACAGCAGATAGAGTCGTGCTGTGGACAGGGAGAGCGGCAGCCACGGAGCTCGACGCTCGTGTGCGCATGATTATGAAGAATTCCAAAATCTTACAAAGCTGAACACCCAGGGAGTTATGGAAAACTGTCTCTGTGTTCTGGCGAGGGACTGGCTTGTTCACGCAGCCGCTCCTTCTTACCTGTCTCTAGGATGGCCTCTCCTGCAGCCGAGAGCGCTGCAGGTGACACCGAGTGTTGGTGAGAGTATCGATTTGGGGCTGAAATGCCTTGATTCTCTGCACCTCTTTATGAGTCCTACATTCAGTTACTAATTGGTAAGCAGCAGCTTCCTACACAGTAGGAGACTGCCACATTTTTTTTTCCTATCATGATTGGCTGGGCCTGCTGCTGTTCCTAGTAAGATATTCTGAATTCCATTTTATCAATAAAGCTTGGTTTAACAAACAAGAAATTTAATCATGTACGCGTAGTTCCTCTTGCCCCGGCTTTCAGAACCCCATGCTATTATAAACGGGACATGCCTCCTAGGGAAAGGTGTTAGTCTCCTTAAATTGGATGGTGGTGTTACCCAGGTACAGATGGATTGAGAAGTCAGTCTGTGTTGTCCTAACCTGTTTTTAAAATGAGTTTCTTCCAGGCTGCTTGCTTGTCAGTAAGATGTGCATCAGCTTGGGTTTACCTACTGTTAATGAAAAGAATTGTCCAAGTTCGACAATCTTAACACTATGATAGATGTGTGTGTGTTGAATGTGTGTTTGTCTGTAACTTTTAATTGACCCACGTCTTTAGAATCTAAGAGGTTAAGATGTATTTGTGATTTGAAATATAGCATGTTGATAATATTTAGCTGTTGGCCTTTAAAAATAAATTTCAAAGCTTAAGGAATTGTAGATATAAAATACCTAATTTAATTTAGGCTTCACCCCCTCCGATTAAGCATGTAAGAGTAAGTTTTCTGGTCTGTCACATCATAAAGACTACTGTTCTGTGCCCGTCTGTGTTTCCGTCTCTGTAGGTTGAGTGCTGTATTTACCAACATGTGTCCGAGTCCCCACCAGGAGCCGATTCAAATACGTTAGATACAAAATCACAACTTTGTGTACAAAAGTTAGTGTAATACATTTTGTTCTGTGTGTTTTCCCCGATCTTGGAAATAGACATGTTTGTATATACAGCCTTAAAACCACTGTAATGTTAAGGGAATGTAGGAGAGCACTGAGAAGTGTCGCAGACTTCAGTAGCTAGAATACCAGCGGACTCTTCATTATCCCTCTCGTGAGCTGATGTAACTTCATTGTATTTAATTTATATCTTAGTCCAGCATGAATGAAGAAAACCTGAAATACTCTTGATATTTAGAAATTCATAACAGCTGCAATTACAGAACCAATTCCAAACTTAATAAATGCTTAATGTCTAAATCTGTGGGAGAGTTGGAAGTATGGTAATGTTCGAGCTGTGGCTTGCAAAGATGGGCCTGTGCATTTCATGACATCCAGTGCTCCTAGCACAGACTGGGCGCTAGGCTGACAGCGGAAGCTGAGATCCTGACAGATGACCTGGGTCCTTCGTTTTTAGAAGTAACCTGAAAACCTTTAGTTTTAGAAATTTCAAAACCTCCAGCCGGGGTTTGCTTATGGCAGCTTTTGAAACTGCCATGGTGGGAAGCTGTGTTTCACACAACAGCAGCCTAGTCAGGTCAGCCTTGTTTGAGATTGTCTCGGCAGAAAAGGAAATTCAATTGCTCTTCTGTTGAAATCGTTAATTCTGAAGACTGGAGTAAGAAAGTGCTGTGATCTAAGGAGACTAGATCTTTCCATGAGTCAGCACCACACTGGTCATTTTGCATTGTGGAACTGCAGGAAGGAGGTGTGCCTTGTAAAAGCCTATCGTGCCGACTTCCTGGGAAAATGGCCGTGGTGGAAGCCAGCAATGCTTTTTTGAAGGGGGATGTTCATACCTGCATGGTACACTTTGTTCTTGTCCCCCATCCCCTTTCCTGCTAATTAACATCTCAGGACAAATGCCTCAAAATATTTCGGTGTGGGTTTTGTTTTGTTTTGTTTTGTTTTGTTTTATGTGAAGAGGAAAAATTCTTGTGTGATGGTAATATAACAGAGTATACTTTTATGTCAGTGAAAATTTCAGTTCTGCATAGCAGTGTTTTGCTAACTTACATTAAAAAGTTTTGAGTAAGCCAGTGGACACCTTTAATCCCAGCACTGGGGAGGCAGAGGCATGTGAATCTCTTGAGTTCAAAGCTAACCTGGGCTACAGAGCGAGATCCAGTACAGGGCTACCCAGAGAAGCCCTGTCTCAACCCCTCCCCTAAAAATGCTTTTCATATCTTACTATTTTAACAAGTGATCATAAGAGTAAAATAAGCCAGGCACAGTGGTACATGCCTCTAATTCCAGCACTCTAGAGTCTTGGCAGGTGTGACTGTGAGTTCAAGGCCAGTGTGATCTACAGAGTCCACAGAGTTCTAGGACTGCAGGGGCTACACAGTGAGAATCTGTCTCATCTCATTTTCACTTTCTTGTAGCGTATCCTTCCACTGATAGCAAAAGCATCTCATGGCCAGCATAAACTTTATAAAAAACCAAAGTGGTCACTTGCTTGGCTTCAGAACACTTGTCAAACACCTTCAGTTACTGTGCGTTTATTTGACTCTAGATCACGAAGCAGCTGTTCTTTGGATATCACATAGTATTAGGAACTCGGTGGGAAAGCCAGGTGTGAAGGCTCTGCCTATGATCTTAGCACTTGGGAGGCTGAAGCAGGAGGATCATGGGTTTAAGACTAAACTGGCCACAAAGTGATAACCTCTCTGAATTTTTTTTAAATTAAAGAGTCATGTGATATAAATAGTTTGAATTACAGTACTGCTTACAAAGACCGTGTGTTTGAGCACATTAAACCAGCTAAGCTCTGCTTTCCCACAAAGTGTTCAGTGTTAGCAAAATACTGTTCTAGGTTAAGTCCCTGGGGACTGTAAAGAGATGAAGTAGGTCCTTGTTCTCAGGGAGTTCACGTTTGGGCAGAATTTAGAATCCAGTGTATGTATTATACATATTCATATAAATAAAGAAAAATGCATTGCCTGCCCCTTCTTTTCCTAGTACTTTCTTCAACAAAGTAGGTCACCACCTGGAAGAATAGTTGCTGTTCCTTTGTTCCCCAAAATTGTTTAGTTTCTTCTTCCCAAAAATTGAAATCATTCAATAGAAGATTCTGCTCAGCATAAGAGTAAATTGGACTGCTGAAGGGTGTCTTAGTATCTATATGGAATTCCTGGTTCTCTCTTGGCCTTGACTTTTCCTGCTGACTACAGCAAGTCACAAGCAAGTAATGGATGTCCTAGAGTTCTCCAACCCCCAGGATGAGGTGGGATCTAAGCTTAGGGCCTCCTGTAGGTTCTTCCTTAAGACTGTGGTCCTCATGTTACAGCACCAGTGTTCATATGAAATCGTTGTGCTATCTAATGCGCGTTAGTGTTTTAGAGTAGCCATGCTTACTGCCTGTCCTTACTGAACAAATTAGCCTGGGAATTTAACACATGGATTCCCAAAAGACTGATGAGTTGGCTTTGTTTTAGTTTTTAATTTCATGCTATACTTCTAGTTCAAACTTCGCTGATTTTACAGTATAGATTTGGTATCCGAGAAGATGTAAATATTTTAGCATGTAAATGTTTCTCATTTAAGGTTTTTGTTTGGAGGGACCTTCAAGAATGTTATATTCTCACATATTCTGGTAATGAGATAATGAGATGACCATTTTAAATTTACTAATCTTCTAATTAGATTTTCTTTCAGGCATTTGAATGTCTTTAGAAGCCTGATTTTACTTTATATCTTACAATAATGTGCTGTTCGTTTTGGTTTGCAGTTGTTTCAAATTATATATTATTTCAGAATATGCTTGAAATATTTAATCCGGTGTTTTCATGTTGGTCAGTAACTCACTAACCGCCATTACAGGGAGAATGCCGTGTGCCAGGCATTGGCTCTGCTGTGTTGTCAAATGAGCCATTTCCATTCGGGGTCAGTTCAACACACATTCTTTGTTTTTTATCTGCTATGTACTCAGCTGTTGGCTTCTGTTTCTTCCTATCCATTTAAACAGCGTGGTGGAGTGTCAGAAAAGCTCAGATGGAGCCGGGCGTGGTGGTTCACAGCTTTAATGCCAGCACTCAGGAGGCAGAGGCAGGTGGATCTTTTGAGTTGGAGGCCAGCCTGGTCTACAGAGCAAGTTCCAAGACAGCCAGGGCTACATAGAGAAACCCTATCTCAATCCCCCAAAAAAGAAAAACTCAAATGGTATTCAAACTGGAGTTGCTTTTACAAGACAGGAAGCTGTTTAAGTTGAAATAATAATACATGACCGTTTTTCCTCCTTATTCTTCATGAAATAACCCCCCCCCCCACACACACACACACTTCCATTTTCTCTCTTCCCTTGGTGCCACCCCCCCCACACACACACTTCTTAAATAGGCCAGTTCTATTCTCTTGAACAAGAAAAACCATGTATTACCTCATCAAGGCCACTTAGTAACTTTATTTTACTGGGTTAAAAGTAGGAAAACTCGGGATGTGGAATAGTGGGGGGCGGGGCACTATAATTGCTTTGGACCTGGCTGTCACTGTTCCAGAACTGAGCATCACAGAAGTCAGCCAGAGACAAATGAGTTTGCTTTTCTGCTGATAGTTACTGATTCAACCCAAACAACTGAGAAAGAAACTGTTTATTCACCCACATCCACTCCTTTGCTCTTCATTGCTCTAAGTCCATCAATTTCTACTGGCTGCCTTCTCATTAAACTAAATGTTTAAGATAGTTGTTCACTGTGTATAGTCCTGACTAATGAAAGACCCCTGAGTAATATCTGTTTCTGTATGATCCTGTCTGAAGTGAGCTAGTTCATATAAAGCTTGGGTAGTTATAGAACAAACTTAGATCTTGATTGCGTACATCGAATAGCACAGGTTTGTTCTTGAGGGTCTTAAGCTTTTGGGGGTCACAACCCTTTGAATCTGACTGCACCTGGGAAAATGCATATGATGTATATAACTCCCCAAGAATGTCTCTTTGGCCTGGTCAAGACCCTCTCTTATATCGTGGGGCACCGTCCTTCTCCAGCAGAGCTCAAACTATCCCAAGAGCACAACAATCTTATCAGAAGACAGTGTCTGTTTTACTTTGAAAAGAGAAAGGAGGAGAGCCGGAACCTGGCTGGAATCTGGTGTGAGGGTGTTTTTTGTTTTTGTTTTTTGTCTGGCTTGGGTTTTCCCCCCTGAGGCCCTATGTTGTGGGAACCTATCTGTAAAGGTGGAAGGAGGCAATGAGGCCAGCTTTTGGAGGTTGACATCATTTAAGATTTGCCAGTCTTGTAACTCAAAAAGTAGAATGGAAATTGAATGTGTCTGGTGTGCTTCTGACCCTCCAGAGCGTAGGTTAATTTGTTAACATGTTAACAGCATGTTAGCTGTCGGGTCTCACTCAGGCTTTAAGATTTTCATTAAATACTAACTTAATTTTGGATTCTAAGGAATTAAGTACTTAATAAAGAACGTTTAAAATGAGGTCTTACATAGCAGTGTAGAAGGTTGATGATACCGCTACAAAGATACCATAATTGCATTGAAAAGTGATTGTTAAATTTGTTGCCAAAATTTCATGTTCAGTTCTAGCTTGATTTCCGTCTGTGGAAGTAGAAACAGAATTCATTATCTTACCCGGCTAGCCCTGAACTAACGCCATAGCATATCTGCAGGAGAATACTATGTAGCAGCAATGCCCAGCACTAATTAGTTTTACAACTGTAATTACTTCACATCATTTCTATGAGTGTTTTGAGTGGGGAGACATTGTACATGTTACAAGCATGTTGCATTACACATAAATTCAGTTTTTTAAACTTATCAATGTAAGAACTGCAGAAATATTTTTCTTAAACATAATATGTGACAGAATTCTCCACTTTGCAGTTTATGTGACCCACAGTTTTAAAGAAATTCCATAAATGTATATTTTGTATTATGTACCATTTCCTGGTCCAAAGAAAATATGTGAATTTAGTTCTAATTTTAAGACTGTACTTTTGTTTTCTAGTTCTCTGAAAAACTGCATTCCGCCTGTGGATGGTTACAGATTGTATGTGAGGTGGGAAGTAGAAGTTTCTCGTTTGCAAAATCGATGCCACTAAATAAACAGGCAATTGCATAATGTGTGTGTTCATGATTGTTTGCTGCCAGGAGCGTGTGTGTTGTGCTGAGGAATCTAGAAATCTGGGGATTAATTATTACGTGAATTTAAGAGAATTTTTTTCCCTGGTGGAACTTGGTAAATTGGCTGATCAGATCAATGAAATCATAATTTGAACTAGAATTGTCCCCAATTTTTGGGAGATAGTTGATAGCCACAAAGGTTGGGTTGGTGGTTATTGTTATGAAGACTCCAGACATAAAGAAGCCAGTTGTTGTTCCTCTTGGACAAGAAGAGTGGAGACTGGGATTGGAAGTGATCTGGAGAAGGCCTGTCAGCTACAGCAGCCCTGGTGTGTGTGTGTATGAGGAGGGTGCAGAAGGAGGCGCTTGCTCGGCTCCTAATGTTGGCTCTAGCTGATATTTCATCTTCACCCAGGTCTCAAAATGACCTCCAGATTTCCAGTCTGGGCTTCACTTCCACCATTAGAAGTTTGAAAACTGAGTAGGTGATTTAATGGAAGTTCTGTACGTTGCAAGCTGCTTCTACTCGATGCTTGCTAAAATCTAGTCTTCTGAGATGTTCCTTTCCTTGTTAGCCCTTAGTAGCGCAGACTGAACTTGCTGTCAAATCAAATGGGATTCTAGTTGAAGATAATACTCTTGGTGAACTGCGTTAGAGGACGGAAGGTTTACAACAGAACCCACCACATGGCCCCAGAAAAGATTTTGCTTCACTGATTGCCTGGAGTCAGCATGAGATTCATATTGTATATTTGTATTCTAAGGGCTTTTTATAAAATGATTTTATGGTGATAGTTTTATTGTTGCCTACATAGGATTAGCTGCTCTAAGAGTGTCATGGCTTTAGCTTTTAGGTGCAGGCTGGCATCTTCCAGACCAAAGTGCTCCTACAGCTGTCCTTAACAACCACATACAAAGTGTTTTCCAGAAGTTAATTTGAACCAGCAGGATTTCCAATATTTGGCCATTATTGATCTACTAAAGAAGTTGTTTTAAACTCTTCAATTTGATGTTCTTTGAAATGAGTTGTTTTCAACCAGCTAGGGTGTCAGTAGCAGGTATTTTTCTATTTGAACGGGTGAGAAAAACACGGATGTATCTGTATAGAGGTACCGACATGAGCAAATTTGCAAGTAGGGGGTTTGATAATAGGCAATACTACGTTTATACAGGTTTGGTATATCCAAGCCAGTGTACAGCTTACATGTCACTCCAGGGTGTGTTTCTCCAGCAGTGGTGAGGGAAGGAAATGGTGCCACGCCGAAACGTTCAGAGCACTGTTCTCTCTCGGACAGTAAACTGAAGATGACAACAAGGTCACTCATCTGGTAAAGGTCCTCTCACGTCCTGGCTACCTGAGTTCAATCCTTGGGACCCGTGCAAAGAGAACTAACTCCACAGTTGTCCTCTGACATCCGCACACATGCTGCAACTTCTGAGCGCGGTATGGGTCCGAGTATATTATATATGCCCATGTCCTTATTCAGATTCAACTCCGCAGTCACCTTGACCTTCAAAGAGGCACGGGGATTTGGAGACCAGATCTGTCTAAGAAATTTCAGTCCAGGAGGAGCAGGGATTCATGAAGGGAACTTGTGTACAGCAAGTCTCCATAGTGAGCTAGGAATGTGGTGTTAGGTTTTGAAGATTACATGGTTGGCTCTCTTGGAGCAATTCATATTCTGATTTTCTGGGTAGAATGTCAAATGTTTTTGTTTAAAAATCTTTTGTTCAAGTATAAAACTTAAGGGTTTTCATGGGGAAAATGATTGAACTCTGCAACTTGAAGTTACTTAATGAAATTAAATAATGAACTTGGCCGGGCGGTGGTGGCACACGCCTTTAATCCCAGCACTTGGGAGGCAGAGGCAGGCGGATCTCTATGAGTTCGAGGCCAGCCTGGTCTACAAGAGCTAGTTCCAGGACAGGCTCCAAAACCTACAGAGAAACCCTGTCTCGAAAAACAAACAAACAAAAAAATGAACTTGACATTTTCGTGTTTGATGACGAAGAAACAAAGGGAATGTGGAGAAAATGATACAATGCTTAAGGTTAGGAGAGAGTTGATTTAAGGTTAAAAACAAGGTTACAATTATTTAAGTTGAGAAAACGCTACTTTTCTGATATTAAAGTGAAATTAGTCACCATAAATCATCAGTATGCTCATAGTGATCAAAGTTGAAGAAATTACAGATGCCCCTCTACTACCAAACCTCTGAAGCCGCAGTCTGCACCTGACCAACAAGATGGAATGACTTGGCAGCCTGAAAACCAAGCACTTTACAGGGACTGCTTTGTGGGGAAGTTCCCACTGAAAGTTTAGCTCCTCCACAGGGAAGCCTGCACCCTCCCTTCCCTCCCCTTGGCTCATAGTCAGCTGACCCACCCTTCAGATCCCCACGCTGGGGCTGGGCAAGCAGCTCTAGAGAGCGCTAGCCCAGCACGTCACGAGAACCTGGGCTGAGGGCACACCCATAATCTCAGCACTCGGGACAGGA